GTGTGCGTGCGCATGTATATATTATGTACATGCATATATATGTATTACTTAAAATTATTTATAGTGGATACTTGTATTTCAAATAGACACCCCATTTTATTTTAAACAGTGCTTATTATATCTATCGGCATAAATCCTAATAAAGAAAATGTGCTCCAGGAAGGGATCGAACCTGTGCCAACCTTGCAAGAGAAACCACTGTTTGATGCGGTTGGTGTCACCACTCGTCACAGTTCAGCAAAACTCTATTTTCCATTTAGCAACCGAGCAATAAACCATGCTGGATCAAATGGTGGTTTCTCCTTCAAAGGTGGATGCAGGTTCGATCCCTATCGGGGAGCATATCTCCCAAATGCGCTGGTCAATAGGCGTAATAGACACAGGTTAAAATAAAAATAAAAATGTGGCGCCTATTTCAAATACGAGTAGCCAGAATGTAATACCTGCATACGTGCACACACAATATATATATAATCTAGTATGTTCATAATTACCTATATATCTATCTATCCTAGTGTCGATCGATCGATCGATCGATCGATCGATCTATCTATCTATCTATCTATCTATCTATCTACGTTGTGCTGAGAAAATTGTCAATATGGCTAAAAATAGCTAAAATCAGCCACTTGTAACAATTTCAGAAAAAAAACTATACCAGTCAATTTAAATTCATTTTGAAATACAGCAAAGTATTTTGCTTATTGAAAATATTAAATTTAATCTATTAGCTTGAAATATTTAAACGTTATTTTTTGTGGATGCCCATATTCGAGAAGACGCTCTGTTTATTTATTAAACTGTATATTTATTTATTTTCATCAACCGGTCTGAATATTAGAGAAATCTTATTAAAAAATATACGTTTTCCAGCAGGATTCGAACCTGCGTCTCCTAGGGGAAACCGTCATTAGATCTGACGTGCTTTGACTACTCGGCTACAGAGAAATCGATGTCCATCTAATCTAGTACGTTCATATCTATCTATCTATCTATCTATCTATCTATCTATCTATCTATCCTAGTGTCTGTCTGTCTGTCTGTCTGTCTATCTATCTATCTATCTATCTTAGGGTACTGAAATGTTCTCTGATCCAATTCCCCAAATCTGATTAAACATCAGGGTGGAAGTCATCCGTTCTTGATGTGAGCGTGAACTTTTCAGCACCTCATTGTATGGCGCTAAGCCCTCGTTATATCAGCAGGAGTGTGTCAAAAATAAATAAAAAAAAAATAAAGAGGAAAAGTCACTCACAGGTGGGACGAGGCAGGTTGAGTCGATATTTTCTTAGCTTTTTCAAGTTGGCGTCATGCCACCAATGGAATTGCACCCAGTGAATAGTCAGTTAGGGTAGAGCTGGAGATATGGGGAGTGTTCAGTGTAGGCTGTTGACTCACCCCACTCATACAGCACACGTCAGATGATCGCTAATCGTGACTCGTTCTCTTTGTTTTGCTGCCACATTTTATAGAATGAATAAAATATTATATCTGATAACTGCCACCCTCACTGAATAAATACCCCGGCGCACACCACTCACCCGTACGCCAATAAAATACATTTTCAACCCGACAAAGTCTCAGCTTGCTTTCTCCTTCTATCTCCCATTTTAGTCCAGACTACCACAGAGCGAAGAAGATAGCCTGTTGTATGATTTGATAGCTCAGTGGTGTGGCAAAGTCATGATTATCAGGATGCCAGAGGTTCTATATCTTAGTACGATATAAGTATAAAGATAATAGAAATGAAATAGTTTGTGTTATGTCGATGTTCAATCAGTATTCAAAATCCTGGTATATTATGCAGGCCATCATGAGAAGATCATGTCGATACATTTTTAAAACTTTCATCGACGACCTCGAATGGTGAAGCTGGGGATGTTGTTTTGTATAGTGGAATAGTGATAGGGTTTGGAATAAGTTGAAAGGTTATGGTGTTTTTGGACGAATTTTTTAAATTACTCAGTTTTATAAAATCGTGGAATGAATGGCCACTCTTCTATATCGTTTTACATTAATACAAGTGTTTTCCATGACTCTATCCTTGGACTTTCGTTGTTCCTAATTTTCATAAATGACCTTCCTGATGTCATCAGTTCTCAAGTCAGTATCTAGGCTGATGGCACATCTATTTACTCCTTTCTGATGCCATCAGTTCTCAAGTCAGTATCTATGCTGATGGCACATCTATTTACTCCTTTCTGATGCCATCAGTTCTCAAGTCAGTATCTATGCTGATGGCACATCTATTTACTCCAGTCTTAATAGTAAGTCTGATTGGTTCGATAAAGTCAAATTGGCAACTGATCTCAAAAATGTTCTACAATCTGGAATGGCTTTTTAGTGTTAACGTCTTCAAAACGAAAGTATACTCTTTTCATTATCTGAGATAACTCTTTTTGCCTTCCATCAGCATGGCTGATGCTAGCCTCCAGGAGAGTAACTCATTACGTCTTCTCTACCTCCAGAATAACTCATTACATCTTTTCTACCTCCAGAGTAACTCATTACGTCTTCTCTACCTCCAGAGTAACTTATTACGTCTTCTCTACCTCCAGAAAGTGACTTATTACGTCTTCTCTACGTAACGTTTTCCGCTGACATGAAGTCGAAAGATTAGAATCAATTGCTCGGTCTTCTGCTAGGAATGTTTGTTCACTGTGTCATGTTATAATTTTCTCAACGAAATCTATTTTACATATTTATAAATCATTTGTTCTTGCTTTGAATATTGCTGCCACATCTGGTCTGGTGCTTTTGCTATCTATTTACAGATTCTTGATAAAATGCAGAGAGAAATTTGCAATGTTATTGGTCCTAACCTGGCATCTCAGATTCAGTGACTTTCTAACAACCATAACGTAGTTTCCCTGTGCTTTTTCTATAAATACTTTCATGGTAATTGTTCTGATAAGATATTCTTTATAGTACTTAGACTTTATGAATTTAAGCGTAGTACTAGATTGGTAGTTAGGTCTCATTATTTTACGGTTGAAATTACTAGATATAATCGTAAATTCTACAGGGTCCGATGGATATAAATTGTCGTCTAAATTATGCAAAAATGAAGATAAAACTGATATCTCATTTTAACAGAGGTTTACCAAAATTACACAAAAAATGTCTTGAAATACTAAAGAGTACACTTATTCAATAAAATCTCCATTAGCTTCAAGCACGGCCTTCATACGACTTTGGAATCTCCTGCATCTCTGCTAGACAGTCTCCTTGATTAAGTCAATGATTGCTGTCATAATCTTTGCCTTCAGTTCATTTTTGGTATCACAAAGAGTTTTATCTGTCTCTCGCTCAACTGCGCCCCATACTTAATAATCAAGGGGGTTGCAGTCTGGGGAGTTAGGTGGCCAGATGTAAGGGGTGATGTGGACGCAAAAATTGTCGGACAGACACGACTGGGTTCTGCTGCTTCTGTGGCATGGTGCAGACTCGTTGCCAGACATGGGGTTTTCCAGAAGCCACCTTCTTGAACCAAAAGAAGCAGTACCTCCTCAAAGCACTTGATGTAGGCTTCTGTGTTGAGTCTGAGGCCATGTAGAAAGATGAATGGAGGCATAACGTCACCATCACTCCAAACACCATGATGTTGACTGGATATATCATCCACTCTCTTTCTGAATCCTCTGCACTGTCCTCAGATTGACACCCAAACACTCTGAAATGTTCGTATTGGATCTTCCGGGGCGAATGACAAGCAGTACAGCATGCCGTTTCCAAATTTCTGGCAGAGTGAATTGCGTCATGGTTCTCTTTAGCTCACAGACGGTGCCCAACTGACCCTACTATAAAGTGCAGTTGACAAAATCAAAAACAAATAGCGTGCATGCGCGAAGTTAAAAATATAACATGGCGACAATTTGCCCATCACACCCTCTATGTTAACAGTTTATTTTCTTGCACTTCTCGCTGGTGGGAATTTCTTATGGCCTTTTGCTTCCCAGGCAACTTTGATCTTCAAAAATTTGCGTAGAATGTCAATCGTTATCTTCTGTTTTCTTAATTCCTGTTCTTTTATTATTTTCTTTCCTTAATAATGTCTTTTCTCATATTTTCTCACACTCATTAACCCTTGCGTCTTAGTGAATTTATTGCCTTGCTTGGGGCGAAATGATTTAAAAAATACTAACAGTCGTTATTTGTACAACCTGTTCAATCCGGGAAAGATGTTGATTTATAAACACTAAACAGACAGACATCTTGATTTAAGGAGTGTCATTCACTTTCTCAGAAGATTACTTATTTGAATCTCTTTAAGATTCCATGATATGTCGATGTGTTATATTGTTTAATATAGCAAATGCTTCATATCCGGCACTCGTAGTAATAGATCAACTGTCAATAGCAGGTGACAATAACACAGGACTACAGTATTTATTAATTCATTCTGCTGCTCGTGTATCAACTTTGCCAATTTATATTGCACGTCTGACTCAGGTGCTAAAGAATACGACTTAAGGTCTGTGGTGTGTGGATCCATATATTAAGTGCAAGGCTAGGCGATGATACAGTGGTCCCAACATTCACGAGGATAAGAACAATGCTGATTTAAAACCAGAAAAATGTATTTTTCTCTTCTTGTGGTAAATATAATCTTGGTAACAGTTAAAAATGTTCCACAATGAAAAAAAAAGAAAAAAAAAAGAAAAAAAAAAGAAAAAAAAACCCAAAACAAACTAAAAAACAAAGGTAAGTTTGTTATGGCTCAACTGCTCGTGTTGGTTGGTTGTTTTTGTTTAGCGACATATCAACACCTCTATGCCGAAACCTAAAGGTTTTCTACGTATCTTTTTTTTTTTTTTTAGATAATAATAGTTTTAGTGATATAAGTCTTATTAATTAACCCATGGCTGCGAGGAGAATAGGTGGGTTCATGCCTTTTCCAAGGATATTTGCGTGTAAGTGAATATAACGAACCCAACTGGAGTTGGAACACAGTTCTCCGATTAACAATGCCGAGCCATTACACCACTCGCATATCCAAGCTTACATCACCTGGTATTCGCAAGCGGTCACTCATCTAGGTACTGATCAGGCTCGACGTGGCTTAACTTTGGTATTTGTACGGGAACCGGTGTTTCAACGTGATGTGTCCGTAAGCCGTGCGAGTGTTGTAGACAAGGGGTCGGCAACCTTTTGCTAACTATGTGCCGACTTAGGGTTTTAAAATCATTCAGTTTCCCAACAACATACGTATTTTTATACAAGTCAATGCCAATATACCTGTTCTACAATATATTTTATATAGCAATATATAGTATATATACTTTAGTATATATTAAAATTTAAACAGATAAATATGTTCTTTGCGTTGTACTAGTTATTGGTTTGGACTTCGTGATGGCATTTGCGGCTGCGTGCCATTGGAAATTGCTTGGCGTGCCACGTGTGGCACGCGTGCCGTAAATTGCCGACCCCTCTTACTACTGTAGTGAGTTCGATGCTTACTCGGTGCTTCACAGTTGTGACTTTATTATTAAGTCGCTGTTACATAGAGCACGGTGGAGAAATGGATATCGGTTCGCATCGAGGAATCAGAGAGCCGAGTTCGAATTCCGATCGAATCCATTGCATTCACTTACGTGATAATATACTTGGGAAAGGTATGAATCCCTGGGTTCTATCTGGTCTACCTCAGAAAGAAATGGTAACTTACTACGGGAAAAAAACCTGCCTCGTCAGTCATGTATCGAAAGATACATGATCGCCTAAGCGTGTATCGCACATAACTGACTGACAACATAGCGAAGTGGTAGGCAAAATATTCTCGTCGACTGTTAATATTAGTCTAGTGAGTTCAGTGTTCACTGACTGCTTCATATTTTTTGATCTTCTGCCAGTCTAAGCTAAGTCGACATAGGTAAATGACCAAAGGGCCGTGAAATGCAACAATAGTTATTATTCCTCTCTTTTTATAGAGTTTCCTTTATTTAAGAATCATTTTTTTATGAATAAGTTATTTTTCTTCCTAATATTATTCCTTTATACTCATACCAAGTCTTTTGGTTTCCACTGGACAGGGATTCTCGACTACTCTCCTAAGTACGTTACCACTTTTTTAGTATTCCATCACTTTCCTCGGTATTACAGCACTCTCTTCAGTATTAACCCACTAAACACAGTATTCTACCAACTCACTTCAGTGTTCCTCCACTCTTCTCAGTATTATATATATATATATATATATATATATATATATATATATATATATATATATATATATATATATATATATATATATGTATACCACGTCTATGTTGCTACGCGAGAGAATTTAATAATAAAGATGCGCAGTAAAAAAATAATTTGCTCTATTCCCAGTTGATTCCCGTTCCTGCTCAGTCATGTCTACTTTTCTACAATTTCTGAGCTAAGTTGCTTTTCCGTTTTATTAAGTGACTGAAGATTATTAGTATTATTATTGGTAGTATTATTGCTACTATTACAATAAACATTTTTTATTTACTCATTTACTGCTCTGTTTCATGATAATCGATTTCCAAAATGGATGAATTTCTTTTCAACAGCATTTCTGAGATTTATTGTTCTTTTCACGTTTCTTTAAAGAATGCATCGGAGTGTCGACAGTTCGAAACAATTTAATTTTTTTTTTATTTAACAGACTATCCACCTTCTTAAATTATATAATCTATAATTTACTCCCCCTCCATAGACTGCAATTACTTGTATTTTTATTTAACTTTCTTAGTCCTGACTATGAAAATAAACTACAGCCAGCAACAAAGCCGATGATCGCGATATTGGCGGTTTTCAGGACGTGAAACCACTTCTTAATTGAGGTGACAGCATCTGTTAGGGTCCTATATATGGCAAATAGTGAACCCCCGAAAAAAAAAAACAGTATGAAAGTATAAAAATACATTTTTATATTAAAAATACCTGCAATACATAATTATAGTAAAAATACTAAAAATACATTATCGTAAAAATACCAGCAATACATAATTATAGTAAAAATACTAAAAATACATTATCGTAAAAATACCTGCAATACATAATTATAGTAAAAATACTAAAAATACATTATCGTAAAAATACCTGCAATACATAATTATAGTAAAAATACTAAAAATACATTATCGTAAAAATACCAGCAATACATAATTATAGTAAAAATACTAAAAATACATTATCGTAAAAATACCTGCAATACATAATTATAGTAAAAATACTAAAAATACATTATCGTAAAAATACCAGCAATACATAATTATAGTAAAAATACCAGAATACATTATCGTAAAAATACCAGGAATACATAATTATAGTAAAAATGCCAACAATATATTATAGTAAAAATGCCAGCAAAACATTATAGTAAAAATACCAGCAATACATATAAAAAAAAGACTAATGCATATAATAAAATAACGAGCAATACAATTTTAAAGTAAAATAACCAACAATACATTTTATTTTTAGTTGAAGACATAAGATTGTATTCAAAATATTTCAGTTAAATTTCGGCATTAAATGACCCATAGGGAGTTGATATGCCGTTAAACATATAAATCAATTAGTGTTTAACTGTTTGACTGTTTTAATAATTTCACCTCAAGCAAGGCGATAAAGCCACTAAAACACAACTCTCCAAGTTTTTTGTTCACTTCGAGAGTTGGTTAAAGGGAAATAAACGAGACACCCGGAAGAGGCATTGCACGTGGAACTAGAACAATCTACCATAGCGGACGAAATAAAGGGTTTGGTTCAAAATTCAAAATTCAAAATCACCTGAAGAAGGCTGGAGAGTACAACGGCCGAAACGTTGTGAATATGGTAATGAAGATGAGGATAGCAGTTCGAGTAATGTAAATAATGCAAGTAATATATTTTCACGATAACTGTTCTTTTGTGGTTTTTTCTTTGTTAGCATGAGTTTATGAATTTAAGTGTACTACTAGATGTAACCGTAAGTTCTATGCTGACAGTTCATTCTCTCGCTCTTCTCGCCTTTAAAACACCCTTCCGACTTCTTGCTTTCCTGTCAATTACAATTTTCAAAAATTTAAATGAAACGTCAATCGTTATCTATCTTTTTAATCCTTGGTCTCGCAGTGTCCTTTCTCTCCAGTAACATTTTCTCAGTTTCTTTCATTCTCGGTAAGCCCTTCTGTCTTAGTGGCTTTATCGCCTAGCGTAGGGGTGAAATGATTAAACAAATAGACAAATAACCGTTGAAAAGTTGTTTGTTGTTGAGAGGCAAAAAAAAAAAATAAAATAATATTCTGAACAACCATCTACTTAAATAAGAAATCAGACGCTTAAAAAAGTGTTTTATAACTGCATTTTTCTCACTAGGGTCAATTCTCGAGGTAGGATTTCGAAAGCTGATTTTCAAGGTAGATCTAAATTCTCCCCTTGAAAGATTGTCGAAACATATTTTTTATTCTCATTTCCTCCCATTTGTCCTTGTATCATAGCAAGCAATCCAGAAGGTTGACAGAAATAGATAATGCCAGTCATATCAATAGATATTATTTTCTCTTTTTTCATTTGTTCCCGTTTGATTTGGCTGGAGTGAATTTTTGGCCAACCTAGACACAGAGATTTATTTTATATTTTTTTTTATTATTGTATATCTGAATATTGATTACGGTCCTATATGGTCGATGACAAAGCTACGTATTTCAAACAAGCGCCAGTTAACCGGGTTTGAGATCAGATGTTAAAGGCAAGCAGCTTTCTTTCTTGAATTGGAGTAACACAATCTTTCTATCCTACGCTTCCCTCCTGTTCCCTACTAAACAAAGTTTACCAAATATCAAAAACATGGTAGAGACAGTTGATATTATGTACCCATTGGCGTTCTTTGTCGGAGTTTAAGCCCAAACATAAGTCACAATTTCTAATGCTTGTTTTAAAAGCAGAGAGGGACTCCCAATTGAAAGATTGGTGCAACACAATCTTCCTTATCTTAACGCCCACCAATTCATCTTATACTATGTTAAGCTTATAGGGCAATTACCATAGTGTGGTTTGATCGGTGCCTGCTTTGTTGCATTGATTTTGTCTAATATTCTGAACATGATTTGAAATGTGCTATTAATAACTTATTACTTCAGGGCACTTCATCGGGCGGCATTGGTCAGAAAGCGATTTTCACAGTCAATTGCTACAGTGTAGGTATCGTATTCAACGGGCACTGCAGAAAAATGGTCTTGCACCATACTAAACTGAATTTAGTAAATATCAATAACATAAAAGCGAAACTTATATTTTACAAGCGCGATTATAGATATAATCTCCTTATTCAGTTAGTGGCATTAATTCCTGCTCATTGACTGTCCGTCAGTGACTTTTTTATAATAAATTTTTAGTAATTAATTTACAATGTACATATTATAGCTCTATTCTGCCAGTAATGCTTGCATTTCTGATCATTGACAATCCCTTTCTTAGAGCAGAAAAAAAGTTAAATATAGATCTAGAGGAGTTAATTCAGTGGGTAGTCATTGAAACAGTTTACATCCTTGTGCAAATTAATTGAAACAACCGCTTTACTTTTTTTCTTTCACCATACGGTCAGTTTTAGAAGCACTAGAGTGACAAGGTGGAATCGATTTCTAGTTTTTCCTCAGATTAGGTCATTTCATGTGGTGAGCAGTAATATGATTCTATTTTCGGGGTGTATGATGAAATTTGTTTGGCCTTGGAAAATATTGCGTCATCCGTGATTGCATCAGAATTTCATCACGCCCAGACACTATTATCTCAACTGTCGATTAGTTGTCCTACGGCCATTGTCTGCGATGGACATTACTCCAAGGAAGTGTACGAAAATTGTAACGCTGCACGAATCCACTGGCAAGCCTTACCAGTGAGCAAATCAAAAGTACTAGACTAGCTCGGAAACTCTCCTGATTTATATTCAGTCAAGAATCTTTAGTCAATCTGCAAGGAACGACTTCGTGGAATGGACATACGAAGTACTAACATGTGCACTGGGTCAGGTTTCATTGGAAAAATTTAAAAAAAAAGTAAATAATAACGGAATTGTTCGTTTTGTTACTATTAATTTGCACAAGGGTGTACATAAAGAGAGAAGAAATGCAGCCGATGTTAAATAAAACTCACA